GAGGCTGTTCAGGTCCAATCCTTCCTTTTAAGGCATGACTTCTTTCCCTTCCTTGACATTAAGGCCACCTGTGTTTCCTCATGCCATTTCCCCCTTTTTATCAAGAGCCTTTCTTCCCTTCATGATGTACCTCAAATCTCTTGTCTTTCTAGAAGCACCTTGCCTGACAAATCTCCCCGCCCCCCCAGTAGACATGATTGCTCTTTCTGAGAACTGCAAATGCATTATGCCACTTACTTAACAATTATCTACTCCATATTATTAGTCATTTCTTTGATGTTACAGTCTTATATCAGCAACTACATTGCAAGCCTTGAATGCCTTGTACGTGTGTGTCTCTCTCTCTCACTCATATGGTCATACACATAGACACAGGCACACGCACACACACGCTAGGCACTTAGCACAATGACTTGTACAGAGGAAGAACTTAGTATCTGTTGATTTTAGAAAGCTAACCCAACTTTTCCTACCATCTAAATTTTTCACATAAATATTTTACTGAGGTATGTATCTACATTTTTTTTCCTTTTTATGTATCTGCAATTTTTTAACCTACTAGTGTATCATTATTTCACTTCTGTGGGTCCCACTATGAATAGCTTTATTCATAAAGTCCAAAGCCAAGGAGGAGTTCTTGGGTAGGATGACAAGTTTGGTATAAGGGACCCTGTTAACTTCACAGCATATACCTGGCATTCCTGTAACATCTGCAGTTTACCCTTTGACGAGGGCATAGTTTTATATGATAATGCTAATGCCTAAAACTCACCTGGTTCCTACTGTAGCTCTGACCTTTCCTTCGCCCCTGCTGTAGTGGGAAGAAACTCTCAAGAGAGAACTAAAACCCAGCCTATAGTCCTGAGCCTGTAGCTAGGTGACCCTGGGCAAGTCGTCAACCCTCTCTGGGTCACACTTTCAATATCTCAGAAAGGGAGGGGGTTATACCAGATGATTGGAGCTGTTTTTATCATCTTCACAAAGGCAGCTGTTCAAAACCAGAAAGTTAATGAGCTGAAATATTATGCCTTGTTATTTCACCCTTTGGCCTTAGTTCTGTCTTCCTAGTCCTTGATGGGTGAAGCAGAGACACAATGCCCACTGCTCAGGGAGTGAGCATTTGCTAGAAGGATTAGGTGGTCCTCTCATCTTATCAAGTTTGGTGGTTATCAGTCCTTTTTTTTTTCATACCCCATGCCTATACCCTGGATAGATTGCTATCTCTGCCCATGAAGTGGGTGTGGCAGCCCCTCCCTTGGCCATCCCAGGGAGAAGTAAAGGTGGTAGAACAGGCAGGTGTCTTGCCTAGCTCCACCCTTTGAGAATGTGGCAGGGCTGAAACCCAAATATCTGTGATGTGCCAGGCATATCCACTTGCATTCTGGAATCTCAAGCTCGGGGTGGACAGATCCAGGGCCCCGTTTTGGGCTGGCTGAGCTTGGCACTGTGGTTGCAAGAGAGCCTATTTCTTGTTGTGTGGGCTGCTATGGCTATTCTTGAGGGAGTAATTGGGCAACTTCTCCATTTGCTCAGTAAGTATTTACTGAGTGCCAGGCACTTTGCTGGCTTGAACAGACATGGTCCTTGGCCACATGGAGCTTACAGTTTGAGGGGGGAGCAGACAGTAAAGATACAAATTATGTGTGGTCATACATGAAAATCCTGTATTATAACACATACAATTATGTGTTATATATACTGGTGATGCCCACATATATAATTTCAGCCCATTCTCTGCAACTCCAGCTTTCTATATTCCGCTGCCTACTCAACACATCTAATGTCTTAAAAGCTTCTCAGTTTAACGTGTCTAAAACAGAATGAACCCCCACCCCCACTTCCTGTCTTCCTAAAGTCTTTCCCATCTCAGTTGATGGTGATTTCATCCTTCCAGTTGCTCAGGCCCCCAATACTCTTAGCATCATCCCTGACTCCTCCCTTTCTCTCCATCCTGCATCCACTTATTCAATAGATCCTGTTGACTTTGCCTTAAATATATCCAGAACCCGACTCTCACCATTTTCACCACTTTCATCCTGGTCTAAGTTTCTGTCGGCCTTTTAACTGACCTTCCTGCTTCTTCCCTTGTCTCCCGACAGACTATTTTCATCACACAGCAGCCAGAGTGATGCTGTAAACTGTAAGTCAGATTTTGTTACGCCTTCACTCCCTGTCCCATTCAGAGTCCTTGTATTGGCCTACAAGACAGGATAGGATTTTCACCACCTTGCGTTTCTTCAGCCATCTCTTGTTCTTCATCCCTTGTTCCACCCACACCCACCCTGCTCCCAGTATCTGGAATGGGCCCCTCTCTCTCCTCCTCCAAGGCGCCTCAGTTCCTTCTCAGTCAAGCCTTTCCAGGCCATCCTTTTAAAAATGGTCCCCTTCCCTCCACTGCCTGCTCTCAGCATTATCTACCACTTTTCCCTATTTTATTTC